TCCGTGCGCGCCGCGCCTGCAGATGGCGCTGCCAAGCGCCCGCCCGGCCTCTTCCGCGCGCTGCTGCAGAGTGTGCGCCGTCCGCGGTGCTGCTCGCGGGCGGGACCCACGGCCGAGTGATCTGCACCCCTTTTGTACGCCCGGGTTTCCAACCTTCTCAGGCTCCTTTCTTGACCCCAGGCCCCTAGAAAGGGACCCCTCTGCGTGCGACGGGCCTCGGAGAGGTGGGCAGCCTCTAGGGCCTTCTCATCCCCTTCTTTCCAGACCCTCCCCTTCCAAACACCAATGAACCCCCCCTACCAAGCTCCTTCGTGTCCATGAGCCCACGAGCTCAGCCAGCCCTGACGCCCCACTGACTCCTCACAGCCCTCAGTTCTACTTCCTCCAGGTCACGCTGCATGACCACGGGGACCGGCTCAGCACCCCTTTCACTCCCTGAGAGCTGAGGCAGGCTCCTGAGATGTTCATACTGGTGCGTTGAGGTCTCCAGCGGGGCCAGATCCCCAGAACGGGGAGAGACTGCATGCAAATTTGAATAGTAAAAGCTCCAAGTGGCAAGGATTGGTGTGTGAGACCCTCGAGTGTGCAAGGCTCTGAATGTGAGGTCCCTGGTGGCGTGTGAGGTACTGAACGAGTGTGTGAGTGTGTCTTCATGCAGCAGCTGGATCCCGCAGCCGGCTGGGGCATCTCTTGCATGCGGTTGGTGGTCCTTCCCTAACTCCTTTTTCCCACCCACCTGGTCCAATCCCCCAGCCCTTATCCCCTCTCCCACTGGGTAAAAATTCCCAGAGAGGCCAAAGGCAGCTGCAGGAAGTGCCCTGGGGGCTTAGCTGAGAAGAACAGTCACAGAAAAGTCAGAGTCTCAGGCAGGACTGGAGGTCATAGCCAGAGGCTCATGGAAGGTCCTGGACCAACAGCATGGGTAACAACTGGTCGTGGGTATTGGGGACAGGATAGAGAGCTCATTCTACAACCACAGTTGTCCTTTAAAGGCCACCCTCTCCAGCCCCTTGTCCCCCCTGCTGTGAGCCCCCACAAGTCCCTTGTGACCACTCAGTGTCCCTGTCCCTGCCCCTCCAGCCACGGTTTTTGGCTACAAGCTGTCATGGTATACATTGGTAATAAAATCTTTCCCCAACCCTTGTCTGCTGTGATTGGCTAAAAGCTTTTTGGCTACAAGCTGTCATGGTATACATTGGTAATAAAATCTTTCCCCAACCCTTGTCTGTTGTGATTGGCTAAAAGCAGAAGAAGGCAGAGAACACACTATATTATTACATCCAGGGAGGAACAGGTGTAGTTAGGATGTGACAAGGCCTCTTCTGAGGTCACCCAGAAGACTGGGAGCCCCCATCACATGTCTATGGTGTCCAGGCCAATGTTGGTGAAGGGTCCACCCGTGCCCACCTGCCTTCCTGACAGCACCACTCTCAGGGGCTCTGGATCTGGCCCCAGCAGTCTGTGCAGCAGCTCCTTCTGGGGGGAGAAGGAGAGGAGGTGTGAAGGATGAGGGCAAGATGGGGTGACCTCTTCAGGCCCTAGGGCAGTGGGTGGGTGATCAAGCCCACCACCATATGGCTTCTCGGCGAGTGCCCCATCCTGCTCCTCCTAGGGCCTCAGTCTCCTGGCCCTGTCCCAGAGGTGGCCGTGGCTGGTGGTGGTGCAGGTGGGCTCAGGTGAAGGAATGGGCCTGGGAGGTCTACTCTGGCCTCTGCCCCACTCACTGGCACAGCAGCACTTTGGTGTTCTGCCAAGTCCTCAATAATGCTGGGCCCTGCATCCGATGCCAAGAGCCAGTCCAGCACAGTTCCTGCCACCTGCACCCCATGGCAGACACTTTGCTGGACAAGGTCCAGCCATTATCTGAAATACCTGCAGGAATCCCCTGAGGGAGGGATCATGTCCCCCATTTTACAGGTGTAGAAGCTGAAGCTCAGAGGGTCCTCCTGGCCAGGAAGGGGCACAGCAGGGTTTGGATCACTAGTCTTACTGGCTCTAAAGCCTGTCCATGGTGTGATGCTGCCACTGGTTGAATTTGGTGTCTCTTTGTGCCACTCACAGAGGGACCCATCACACCCAGGGTTCCACCTACAGTTCTTCATGGCATATGCTCACTCATCCCTCATGCCCTTCCTCGTCCCCCTTCCCACGTGACATGAGCACACTCACACACGCACCCTCCTGTGGGACAACCAGGTCCCCAGGCTCAACTACTCTGCTGTAGAGACACCCACAGAGCCAGAACCCTGGCCACTTCTGCCCTCCCAAGGGCATTCCGAAGGCTTTCCCAGACTGGGGCTGCTCTGGCCCCTGGTAAACAGTGGAACATCTGAGGGGCCCCAGAAGGGCTAAACATTCTGCCCATGCTCCTCAGAGCCCTCATCATGAACCCCAGGTGGGCAGCTGTTGGCACAATGCCACCCAGGATAAGGTGACTTGGAGACCAGAGACCTAGGTTCTGGTCTGTTCCCGCCCTGCAAGCCATCCGACTTTGAGCGGGACAGCACCCCTTTCTGGGCATCATTTTCTCTATTGGCTACTTGGAAAGGTTGGATTGGATGATCTCTCAGGTCACTCTTGACTTCCACACAAACGTTTACAGAGCTCTTGGACAAGTCACAGAACCAAGGGATTCATGGGAAAAGGCCCCATCTGTGTCCTGCCTCCCCAACCCCCCAGCCAAGGGAGAGGAGGGGGCGGGTAGCGCCCAAGAACACCCCATGGCCTCCTAGGCCTTCCCAGACACTCCCAAGGCCCACTCACTGCTGCAGGAGAGGGGGTGGAGCCTCAAGCAGCTTCTCAGAAATATAGCAATCCCCTGACCTCCCAGGACAGAGTCTCAGCTCTTTTTTGGCTTTGAAGGCTTTCTGTGACCTGGCCCCCTCCATCTCCAGACCCTTTTCTCAGAGCTCCTTGCCCCTCCCCAGCCCACAGGCCCAGCCTTACTGTGGGAGCCCCTGACTCCTTTCCCATCTAGGTCAGCATTGGCCTCCTCGGGGCCACAAGCTCTGGCAGGCAAGGCTGTTCCCTTCTGCCTCAGTTCCCCTAGACATGTTCATTGGAGTTTTTGCTTCAAACCACCTCAGAGATGAGCCACCCACCCAGAGGCCTCCAGCCCTGCCTGGCCACCTGGCCACCACAGCCCCCATCCTTAGGGGCCCATCTGGGAGCCTCTATACCAGATTCCCTGTAGCATGTTACACCAGACTCCATGTGCAACATTCTGGGTGTTTTAAAGCCCAAGAGAGGCTTTGGTTGACCAAATCTTTGCATGTAGAGTCCTCGAGGGAAAATAAATACTAAAGCGTGAGAGCAGGCTGGGAGCTTTGGAGGGCAGGGACCAGGTTGAGCTCAGGACTCAGAAGAGGGGTGGATGTGTGTGGATGGTGGGTGAATACCTCCCCGACCCCTCCACAGAACCTCAGACTATTACGACTCAAATGGGCCTTGGAGAGATTCTACTGCAATGGTGGCTTTCAAAGTGGGAAGGAGAGAGGGTAGTTTCTTCTGCTTCTGGAGACCCGCTCCTCCAGGTAGACAAACCCCCTGCCCCCAGCCCCCCTGCAGCCCACTCACCTACTCCAGTGGTTCTCAATCCTGCCTGCATGAGAATGCCCTAGGAAGCCTTTACCACATATCCGTGCCCAGGCTCCACCCAGACCATTGGAACCAGAACCTCTTGGTGTCACCCGGGCTTCAGTATTTATTTATTTTTCTCTTTGAGGCTGGCTGGTATGGGGATCCAAATAGGCATCAATATTTTTAAAGAGTCTCTATGGTGATCCTAAACAGCAGCCCAGGCTATGAACTCTCCGTCTCATCTAACCAGCTAACCTATTTAACTATTACTCATTTGAGGCCACCTTCGCTCCTCTGCTGGGCTATGTCCATTCCTCTCCGGGCCTCTTCCCTGTGCTCACCGTCTGTTGTATAGAAGCTATAACGGGACAGTCAGGCTTTTCGGCATTTGCTCTGTGCAGGTGTTTTTTTTTTTTTCTTTCCCTTTTGTCTTTTTTCGTGACCGGCAATGGGATCGCAACCCTTGGTGTCGCGCCCGCACCGTGCTCAACCAGTGAGCGAACCAGTCTCTATATGGGATCCGAACCCTCGGCAGGAGCGCCACCCTCTACCGAGTGCACCACCGGGCCGGCCCCATGTGCAGGTGGTTTTTATGCCCACTCTTATTCAATCCTCACCACAGCCCTGCACGGGTAATGTTCTGATCCCCATTTACAGATGGGAAAACTGAGAACCAGAGGCAAGAAGTCATCCACCCAGGTTCCCACAGTGAACGAGTGAAGGAGCAAGGATTGGACGCCCTATTCCAAAGCCATAAGGCTCCCCGGGGCCTGGGGCAGAGAAGCGAGGCTGCGCCTGCCCATGTCAGCAACAGGTCCCTCCAGCTGTGTCCTGAACCCTGCCCCTCCCAAGTCAGAAGCCCCAGGCACCAAATCATCCCCCATCTTACCTTGATTTCCTGACTGTTCTAGTCCCCACTGCTGTCGGCAGTGTTCATAGATTTGTTGCCCAGGTCCACACAGTTGTTATCTAGGGAGTTGAGGCTGTGGGAGAGGTGATGAAACTCAGGTTGTTGGCAGGCCCAGTCCTCCCTGTCTGTAGCCAAACACCATGACCACCACCCCCACTGCCAGCACCACCACCACCAACCACCATCACCACCATCTTCGCCCCCAGCAACACCATCACTACCAACACCACCACCATCTCCACCACCACCATCTCCACCACCACCATCTCCACTACCAACACCACCACCATCTCCACCACCACCACCACCACCATGCCATGATCATCACCACCATCACCACTACCTCTGCCAACTAGCCTGGCTGTGGGGGACACTGCTCACCTGACGTGGTCCATGTCGCTGGAGGAGGAAAGGTATACCAAGTCCAGGTCCTCGGTGGAGAGGTTCAGCATGGGGTTAGCCCTGGACAGAAGGCTCAGTCAAGTGGCCATGGCCTTCAGCCACCCCACAAGGTCTCTTACCCACTTTTTGACCCCTGCTCACCGCTCAGTGTTATACATGTTAGTCCCGGGGATGGCGGGGGCTGAGGCCACCACCCCCGCCACTGTCTTCCGGGCCTCCTTGGCAGCCTTCATAGCCCAAAGCTTCCGGTGGTAGCTGTGGGGAACCAGGAGGGGGTCACACCTTCACTGTATGCCCACCGTGTGCCCAGTGGAGGCCGTGAGAGTATGGCTTCACAATGGTCCTGGCAGGTGAGAGTGTTAGGCTCCGTTTTACAGAGGGTAGAAGTAAGAGCCAGAGAAAAAAAGTGTTTTGCCAAAGGCCACACAGCCAGCCAGTGTCAAGGTCTGGAATCAAACCCAGATATGGCTGCTGCCTCTATACGGGTTGGAAAGGGAAAAAGCAGCAGCACTTATTACGTGCGTAGTATGTGCCAGACATCTTTCTGGGAGTGAGATGCACATTACTTCCTTTAGTGCATTGACGAATCTCATGGCATGCCCACTCTGCAGATGTGGAAACTGACGCTCAGGGAGAGGAGGTGACTTGCCCAAGAACTTACAACGGGTCACTGGGGATTGAATGCACATACACCTGATACATAAACCCAAACTCTTTCTACCACCCTCCACCCCATGTCCTAGGTGGTAGGGGAGGGGGAGAGTTGGAGATGGGGTTGGTGGTGGGAGCAGCACCTCTTTCGCATACACACAAAGGCCACGGTCATGATCACAAGGACCAGCAGCAAAAGCGCTCCCAATCCTATGATGATGCTGATGAGTGTATTCGGCAGGTCTGACTCCTGGCTCTCCTGGGAGCCCTGGAGAAGAAGGAGTGGGAGACAGGCTGTGGGGTCAACATCCCCCGCTCCCCCATTACCTCCACCCTGCCCACACTCACCAGCACCACCAGCCCCAGCTGCAGCAGCCTTGTCAGGGAATCCTGGTCATTCCGGATCATCCTGGCCACAGAATCCCACTCAGGCCCAAGGGACATTGGCACTCCCACCCTGGCTTCCTTCTCACCATCATGCCCACCCCAGAGGCAGCCCCACTCACACACTCAGGTCGTTAAGTGTCAGGGCCGACCCATTGGAGAAGACAAAGTAGGCATCGAGGTAGGATTGGGCTCGGGTCCTGGAATGGGGCA